TGGGAGTTAGCCATGAAGGATGAGATGGAGTCATTGCTGAAGAACAAGACTTGGGAGTTAACCAAACTGCCTGAAGGAAAGAAGGCCCTGCAAAACAAGTGGGTTTACAGAGTAAAGACCGAGCATGACGGAAGCAAACGGTTCAAAGCAAGACTTGTTGTAAAAGGGTTTCAGCAAAAGAAGGGGATCGACTATTCTGAGATATTTTCTCCAGTTGTGAAGCTTACAACAATCAGAGTTGTTCTAGGGATAGTAGCTGCAGAAAATTTACATCTTGAACAATTAGATGTAAAAACAGCATTTCTTCATGGAGAATTGAAGGAAGACATTTACATGCAACAACCAGAGGGGTTTGCAATACCAGGAAAGGAGAGTCAAGTTTGCAAACTAAAGAAGAGTCTATATGGTTTGAAGCAAGCTCCAAGACAGTGGTACAAGAAGTTTGATAACTTCATGAGTAGTACGGGATACACAAAATGTCAGGCTGATCATTGTTGCTATGTCAAACATTTTGACAACTCCTATATCATTCTACTGCTATATGTGGATGATATGTTAATTGCAGGTTCCAGCATGGAAGAGATTGACAAGCTAAAGCAACAGTTGTCAAAACAGTTTGAAATGAAGGATCTGGGAGCTACTAAACAAATACTTGGCATGAGAATCATCAGAGACAAAGACAAAGGCATACTAAAGCTTTCACAGGCAGAGTATGTCAAGAAGGTTCTCAGCAGGTTTAGTATGGATAATGCTAAGCCAGTATGTACACCTCTGGGGAATCATTTCAAGCTCAGTAAAGACCAGTCACCAAAAACTGAGCTAGAACGTGGATACATGGACCAGATCCCATACGCCTCAGCTATCGGCTCCTTGATGTATGCCATGGTCTGTACTAGACCAGATATTGCCCATGCAGTGGGAGTTGTAAGCCGATATATGAGCAATCCTGGAAAGCAGCATTGGGAGGCAGTGAAATGGATCATGAGGTACTTAAAAGGCTCATCGGAGACATGTCTTATTTTCACAGCTGGCGGTTTGAAACTTGAAGGCTTTGTAGATGCTGATCTAGCAAGAGATGTTGATAGCAGAAAGAGTACTACAGGTTATATATACACTCTAGGAGGCACTGCTGTTTCTTGGAGTTCTACCTTGCAAAAGATAGTTGCTCTTTCAACGACAGAAGCTGAATATGTCGCAGTTTCAGAATCCGCAAAAGAGATAGTATGGCTACAGAGTTTCCTGCAAGAATTGGGCAAGATGCATGGAAAGGGTACTTTGTATAGTGACAGTCAGAGTGCAATCTTCCTTGCCAAGAATCCAGCATTTCACTCCAGAACAAAGCACATACAGATCAAATATCACTTCATCCGGCAACTGCTCGACGATGAACAACTGTTACTTGAAAAGATCTGTGGAAGCAAGAATCCAGCTGACATGTTAACCAAAGGAGTCACTCTTGATAAACTGAAGCTGTGTAAAGCTTCAGTTGGACTTAAAGATTAAAAAACAGATCTAGCGCCATTTGTGTCCAAGTGGGAGATTGTTGGGTGTGGACACAACATGGTTGGTGGCAGCCATGTTAGACATGGCTAAAGTCAATGGTGGTTGCATGGTGGGTGCCTAACCAAAGAAATTGTTGCCCACCATTGTTGACTAAAGAAGAAACTTGTCTCCCACATCAGCTATAAATAGAGAGTGCCATTGATAGCTGATTAGCACCACGAGATAGAGAGAAACACAGAGAGAGAGCTAAGGGTGAGAGTTGAGTTGAGTTGAGAAGTTTTTCTCCTCCTCCTTGTTTTGTTGTTTGTATTGCTTTTGAGCTTGATTAATACAAACCAGTAGCTCCGTGGAGTAGGCAAGTTGCCGAACCACGTAAATTTATGTGTGTTTGAATGTTTGGATCTCCTAACACAGACTTCGATGGCTCCATGAACTGGGTCCGATAGGAAGTTCCGAGGATGTCGTGGCTGGTAAGAGCATCATTATCCGCTGCTTCCAGTGCCTGCTGGGTGATCATATGTGAGATGATGGCAGATGAATCTTAAGGAACAAGAAAAATTCTCATCATATATTAGAATGTTGGCTGCATAAAACCAACGCCCCTGCAAGAACATCATCAATTCCTTACTTCTATATACTGCAGGGTTCATCTTCATAGCACTGATACTGGCTGTCCATGAAAGGAAATTACGGGGCACAGAGCATGTAAACACAAAAGGAAACTTAAACGAGCGGAATCTTGTATGTGAACACAGACATGGACGCACGTACTGTTGGGTATGCGACCAAAGTCCCACGTTAGGAGGATCAAGGGTATATAAGGATGAACAAATATCTCTATTAGTATGAGGCCTTTTGGGTATAACCCAAGAGCAAATCCATGAGGGCTTAGACCCAAAGTGGACAATATCATACCAATGTGGAGATAGGTGGTGTCTGTAATCCTTACA